CGGTCGTTTCGTAGCCACATTCAGTAGATTCGTAGCCAGTTTTAGTCGGCTCGTACCTGAAACGCCGGTCGATTTGTATCCATACCAATAAGACTTCATTCGAAATACCTCACGAGCGCGTGAACAGATGTCCATTGTTGTGGGTGATACATAAGTGGAGTCAAGCGAGTATGATACAAACAAAGTCTGTTGTGATCTTTTTCAATGTCACTCAATGTTAATTTTTGCACAAGAACATGATATTTTTATTTTGAAATAAATACATGATAAAATTGAGTCCAACTTCACATGAATAAATTAGATACTAGTAACTTCACGCTTCATAAGATGACAGCAACAGCTTGAAACATCTGTAAGAGTTATTATTCTCTCCGAGTGATCTAAACAGAAATTGTCGTGCGATGGTAATTGCGACCTGGAAAGACACTTGCTGAGGGATAACTCGTAAGATATTTGCCCCTCAGGTAAGTGACTCATGTTGTTTGTTACATGTGCTTTGTTGGTTTTTTTTAATTTATTTATCTGGTTTAAACGAGGCAAGTTAGTAAGGTGATTCACAAAATATGAACCAGAAATGAATTTATCTCTATAAGCATCTTATGTGAACAGTTTAGGTTTTGATCAGCTCGCGCAAATTTAGCGACAGGAGCATGGAACAACCTAAAAGGGACTATTAAAAAACTGAAACAACGAACCAAACAGCAAAAAAAATTGGGGAAAAATTAACAGAGAGAAATAATTAGTACAAAATATATTTTGCAAGGGTTCTTCCCATAATTTTAGCGTTTCCCAAAATGTTTTTCATACATTTGAGTAGAAAAAGCTAAAAACAACGGAGCATTTGATAAAAAAATGTGAAAATGAAATGGAAGGAATCGACAGTTTGATTCTAAGTAACGGTAGTTCCGAAATTTCAAATTATTCAAAGTTTCTGAGGGATAAATTTACGAGACTGTTGTGACGTTTATAATTTACGAATAGAACTTACCGGCTTGTAACATCTGTGAGGGTTTTATAAATAAATATGTGATAAAATATGCAGATGGAATAAGAAAAAAAAACAAAAAACAAAATGGAGAAACGAGAGATATATATATTACAAAAGCAACAAACGAAGAATTTCATTTTTCCTGTTGTAATTGCTTCTTGTCTAAGAACGGAAATGTTTCTTATAGAATACCACAAAGTCGATCAGTCTCTAAACATGAAGACATGTAACTTCTTTCTGGAATGAAATACATTATCATAATTTAAATTGTTTCGAGAAAGCAGATGAAGACACAACATTACAAGTTGCATTTTTTTTTTCTGAAATTATATGGTTTTATTTCCCTAACTTTATGAGCACGTCTAGGGCAATGTCTAATATACGGCTTTCATTAGGGAAGATGTCTATCAAGAGTATGTGGATTTTCATCGTTCTTTTAGGTAAGTCAACGTTTGTATTGAATTAAGACGCTGAGTTCAAATTTCATCAGATGGGACAAAGAACTGTTGTTATTCTCGTATCGATGCCAGCTTTTCCGCAAAAGATTATCCTATACCCATTTCCTTTCGTTTACCGAGGGGTAGTTATACCGGTTCATAATGGCGTATTAGTTGTATGTAAATTTTTTGCCACTTTCATGAGGAAAACATCTGTTTAACTTTGCGGATGAATTTTCAGTGCAAAAAAAAAATTAGGATACTACTTTCCCATAATCCCTATTTTAAAATAATGCTAAGTAATCAGAACTAAAACACTAACCAGACCTAGGGTGTTTTAAGTGCAATCTCACCGAAATATCATAATGCCATATGGTTTTGATATTAATTTCGAAGCTAGAGTTTTTCTTTGTTACAATTGGGACATCTCTTACGTCCTTTAGTAATTTGTCCTCCCACGACCACATGACAAATTAGTCGTTAGCGTTAAAAAACTGTTTTAAATTCGTAATATATAGATTTAGCCAAGCTTAAAAGCATTTCCCACACGTCTCAATGGCACACCGCCTTGCCCCGGCCAGGACTAGAACCCGGGTCGTCCGACTAAGAGCCCAGTGTACTGACCACTGGACTAATTCGTAATAGTGCGAGTCAGCAGTATTGCTAACGCGAGTGGGTAATTTTTTCCAAATATGTGAAAATAGAAAACACAATAACATATATAATATATTAAGATCACTCGAGGAGGATTTGGACGACTACTTTTTTGCAAAAAAGTGTGGTTAATTGCAGTCCTCATCTTCTACGCAAGCTTTTGCAAAAGATCAAAATGCGTCGTATGAATTAGCCTTTTTTGGTAGCCTTTTTCAGTAAGTTTTGTTTCCCCAAAACCCTATATGGAGCGTGTGGTCGAGCGTTTTGTCAGTTTGGTTATACTCTCAATATTGGAGCAATGACTGCCAAAAACTCTTTTCTTCTTGCGTGTTGCCATGAAAACTTGACAAGGTCTCAAGATACACTATCTGATCCCACGCGAGTCGAAGTTTCTTTAAGGAACTAGTGAGTTTTGACCCATGGCAAGTGACAAGTTCTCCTCCAATCGGAAAGCGTATTTGAGTTTGGAAGATATAACAAATTCCAGTTAATCACGTGTCTATGTGTACACAAGTATTCCTTAACATAGGTATGTTATATATTTCAGTTGCAATAATAACAAAAGTACGCTCTAAACAGTATATCCTATACCTTGAAAAAACCCAACCTCCAGTGGCAAGAGGCGAATATGTTGAAATAACATTGTCATTTATGCTGCCTTCCTATTTTTCGGGAGTACCTTGTGCTGATAACGAATATCTTGAGATTCGCGATGGTTATAATCAGTCTGCCAATCTATTAGGTGTATTTTGTGGAAGATACATTAAGTCTTTAATCCGCCGATCCAGCGGACATTACATGTGGTTAAGATTTTCATCATCGGGCAGATACTGGTTATTTTACCATAATTACTATGAGGGAAGAGCAGCAAATAAAAAAGGTAGGTCATTGAGCGTTCTGTTTTTATATGTGTCCTGCTTTCATGATTTAGCGGAAATCACAAATCCTTTTGAATTTGTTCTAGTTCCTGCAGGTCTGAGTCAAGACGCACAGACTCAGTTTGTCCTGCTCAACCATTCGTCATCTTTGTGGTGCCCGGCGGAAGGTGGACCGGCTCCTCGCATTGTGTGGAGAAAGAATGGCGCTGTTGTGCAAAATAGCACGAGTGTTCGACTTCTAATCAACGTTACTAATGAAGAAAGGAATACAAACTACAGCTGCGAGGTGGAAAGCCATGGTCAGTTGAAGAGGAAATATATCAGTCTCGTTTTCGAGAGTAAGTCTGTCAAGTTACCATTTTACTCCAAGGGAGGCTAAGGTACACGTAAATTTGGATAATAGCTTCATTACCTTACCATTTACTAGAATTGTAGATGATGCCCAACTAAAAATTTCTCTAGTTCATGAAACCAATTAACTTTGTTTACAAAAGCAATTCAAAGCTCTACCGAATAGACTCGCAAATTATTTTATCAATCTAAGAGCTCAAACCATAGAAGATATAAAAAATTCATCTGATCGAGACAACAAGTCGCAACCCGAAATAAACCCCAACAATTATTTTACTGCAAGATGAAATCAGCGCGGAAGTTCATAAATAACTTGACTACAAGTCAAAAAGGCAGCCGAACAAAAAGCCTTTCATATTCATTAATAACTCGACTGCAAAATTTTCATAACCAGAGCGAACTCTTAATTAAAAAAAAGCATTCTGGAGCTCATTTAGGTGACGTGTCCAAACATCAAAATTAGTCAATATCCTATCATTTTTTTCTAGGCTGTCCTGAACCATGTCGATGCACAGTTCTGAAAGGTAACATGAAGGGCATACATGTTGATTGTGAAAGAAAACGGCTAACATCAGTTCCACAGAACATTCCGAGAGCTACAGTAAAACTGTAAGTACGTAGTTTACAAACAACCTGATCTGGAGGAAACTAATGAATTAAGTTAAGTTTCTTAGATATAACGATCAAAGAATTTCCCAGATGTGCTCGAATTTAAGAACACAAAATAGTTCCCGGCTTTTTGGTTTGTTTTTAATCCACTGATTAGATATGAGTGGAGGTTGTTTTCAACAAACGAACAGAAAAACTGCGGTACCGGCCAGTTTAAATGAATTTATCAAAAACATTCCAACATGTTTACTTTTTCCCTCAACAGTGTTCAAGCAATTTCTTTATCTTGTCATTTTCGTTCCATTTCAGGTGATTCCTCAGAAACAAAGTTATAGTTTCGATAAATGTTCCTTACCAGTTTCTACTTCAAAAACTACAGTTAAAATGATAGATCACCGCGCTTGATTAAGAGATATTGTGGGCTAATCGTACCCCATTATTGCCTTCACTAGTCACGTACCCAGACTTCCACGGCCAAGCGGTTGTAAGGTCTAGTAAGTTCGTTTTTTTGCACTAAAATACGGTACCTTCCCATGAACTTTTTGTAACCGCCCCGGGAAATGGATTTTTAACGTGCACTACGGAAAGTTCTTGACTTCAAAAACATGTCAAACTGAAGTCGAAGTGCTTTGAGTTGTGTCCGCCCTGATTGGCTGCTTCGAAAGTGATTAGCAAGAAATATTCACCTCAGAGGAGCCGAAGAGACAAAATCGCGCGTCAGCAATTTCATTTTTGATCAGTGCTTGTAAAAGTGGTTTATATTTCCTGACCGCAAAGCGGCGAGGTAAATATTCACCACGAATCACCTCCTTTTCGGTGAATATTTGTTAATCATATATTTTTACGGAGGCAGAAATCCTATTGGTAACTAGTTTGGGGCTGTACACATACAAAAAGAGGAACATTTTTGCAACAGTAGCTTTTGGAATGAGATTTGACTCCCCTTTCTTGAGGAGCAAATAATTCACCTTGGAGCACCTTGAACTATGGAAAGCATGTTACAGGAAAGTGGTAGCCATTGAGAGGGATAAGAGTGCCGCAGTGTCAACCCTACATTACAATAAAATTGCCCCATGCATGTCGTTTTGAAACTTGTTCCGTCGAGTATGTTACATTGTATGTTTGTTTCCTCTCAAGCTACAAGTTATGCCTACAATAACCAGAGTGCGTAACATTGTTCTTTCCTTTTGATCTTGTCCACAACATGCGTTGCTCATGTCTTGATTTAACGAGAATTATTGATGAGGCAGCTTCGAAAATGATTCAATTGGGTCAAACATATTATTTGGGTGGCACTTATAAGCTCACGTTTATTTTTGATGAATGTTAATTGGAAACAGGGACCTGTCTAACAATGAGTTGGAGGATTTGCCCTCAGGATTATTCGATCCACTTTACAACTTAACGAAACTGTAAGTATCTAATATCATTCAATTATTGGTCTTTCAATTGACGTTCCTTGAATTGTCTGTAAATTTGGATTGATCGTGGGTTTTTTTTTAAGTGTGCTTGCATATAATTATATGTACCATGGTCGATTTTTTCTAAACAACATGTTCATATTCCTCGTTTTCGATCCATTTGGGCCTTTGAGTCGTCAAAATAATATAAAATCATTTCTAATTGAATACCTCACCCTATCATTCCATTGAATTCACAATACATTAATTAAAAAAAATAATTTTGCTTCAAAATGATTAACAGTGAATTTGTGATATTGATAACTTTGTCTTCCTCTTGTTTCTGCTTCTGCAGTGACTTGTCCTCTAACCAACTGGAGCAATTACCTTCAGGAGTTTTCAATCAATCCATAATGCTTTCAGAGCTGTAAGCAGAATGTTTGTTCCATCTATTAGGAAATCCTATAGACTTCTATGTCATAATGAATGCCTTAAATGTGGAATCCGTAACTTCTGACTTTCATATGATAGCAGCTTTACCCAGTTTCGTGTTAAAGGGAAATCTAAAGCTTATTTCCCAAATTTTCGAAAATTGCTCTTACGCTCTGAATAGTTTATTTGGTCGATCCATTCTGTTTCCGCACTCCTCTACTTCTCGTCATTCATTTCATTTCCGAACCAAGGGCTGCGTGAAGTGTGCTAATGCTGAAACGATGATCTACGCATTTTTATCTTCCTCAAAGTACGGATGAGGGGACTAGTATTCACAAAACCCTTTTTCGCGCGATCTAATTGAGATCACATTCAAGGCTTTCTTTAAGAATCATAAAATCGGTTTTTCGAATGGAAGGAAATCAATTCTTCATCTTAAAAGCCTTAAACTATGATTACTAATTATCGCGCCTAATGCTTTTTGATATCATGTGCCTTTGTGAGTCTAAAAATTTATGACGGGGCAATTAAACTGAAAAAACAAAAGAAGAAAAGCGAGAATCTTAGAACAGAGGTCAACTTGTCATAATCGACCCGAAGACGGTATCTTTTCTGCCAGAGAGTAACTTTCGTTCACAAAGGTACTCTTTGGATTACTACTGCACTCTCCTCCTCAACTTATTCCATTTGGTATATTTCAGGTAATTCTCCCAATCTATGTCACCTATCAATTCAGGAGCCTACTCACAAAATGTAGGATCTGTTTCTCTGCTCATACCAACTAACACAAAACTATTACTTTGAGTGACCAGGAACTTCCTTTGTTAAAGTCAGTGAAGTGCCTGATTTTATGGCAAGTCCCTTTATCTCCTAATAATAACTGTACATTAGTGGATATGACGTCGACCAATTTGACTCTTGTGGTTTTCTTGCTAACTCTACAGATTCCTGGACAACAACAACTTAAGGAATTTGTCCTCTGATCAACTACCTCGGAGGTCAACGTGGTCCACATTTCAAAACCTGTAAGTAAGAGGTTTATTTATCCTTGGGATAAGTGATCATACTAACTGATATTTCAAAGCACACCTGGAGCTGTACCGTTCCGCAAAATTGCAAATGAGCTGAAAACGCAATTCCTATAATCCATAATCTCGGAAAGCTTAATTTTATTAAACCTGTATATTTAATCCACATCAGCTCCAAACTTTTCAAAATATAATGGTGATCTTAGAAAGGTAACTTTGTAAGTGGGCGTCATGAATGAATATTCATAAATAAAGAAACCTTGATTAAAAACAAGGTGCAGACCTTTGATACCAAAATCTATAAAATGATCGGTTTCTTTGGGTCTTTTCCTTACTAATTTGAGTTGTCTTGGGTATAATCTCTACTAGCATCCCGTGACGTTTTTTGCGAATTGCTGATATCAAATTTCGGTCATCAGTTTAATAAGGGTGAATCCGCAGTTCGCATATATGATTTCACATACTCGTAGATTTTGATTCATCACTTCACGGGTGTATTACGAACCGCCATCATAACAGTGGCTCAGCTGGTAGGGCACTGAACCAGTATCACAATGGTCACAGGCTAAAAATCCCGTACAAGCCTGAATTTCACTATTACGTTCATTACATTCATATTTATTTCCTAATCAGTTTACAAAATATTTTTCATATATTCATACACAGTCATTCATCTAATTACAATAAGAAACATTTATGTAACAGTCTATGAAATGAAAGTATTTTCCAACACAGAACCCTGGATTTCAACAAACTGGAGAAGCTGCCATTTGATCTATTCAAGGACCATAAATTTAATGATCTGTGAGTAAAGTGCTGTGAGACTTGCTACAACATCAATTCCCTCCCCTCTCCTCCCCCACCCAGGTTTGGTTTCGATTTTCCTAACGGGTTTCTGTATCTGGGTCACTTTATTTACACTTTTTTCCTTAACAACTCAAACTTTTTTCGATATTGTAAGGAATTACAATGTGAATTAGTATACACTGAGAGACTAGATATCTTGGGCTTTTCAGACTCATAATAAGCAATACATAAAAGCTTTCATGCGTTAATCACATGGAAATTTTTTAAATATTAGGAAACTTTCATGTCGTCAATAAGAATATCACTCATTTCAGGACCTCGTTTTACTATCCTGAATTAGTGAAGACTACGCCACCAAATAGTTGCGAATCCCGCTTTGTTTTTAAGTTTCCTTCATTTGGTAAAAATAATGGAAGTCATACTAATGCTAATAATTTCACAGCTGGCTGGGAAACAACTACATCAAGACGTTACCTGAAAGACTGTTTGCCGGGCAAACAAAGTTAAGACGCTTGTGAGTAATAATCATAATTTGTAAAAATCTTCATTTGGAAGATAGCTACCACTCCCTTCGCCTGCTTGACGAGAGCACATAAAGGCAGCAGAAGAACTTTAAAACAAATTTGATCATGGTTACACAATACCGGCATTTCATCAAAAGTCTGGCTTACAATAAGCAAACCTTGATAAGCAATAACCTTTTTGTAGGAAAATATAACTGTGATTTGCCGAGTCAAGTATTAGTCTACTATCCGATCGATTTGACCACACTTATTTTGGTTCGGTTGCTTATGCTCGCAACTTTCCAGACTTTCCTACCTGAAACTTATTCGGCCAGTTTCTTCTCTGTTAGGCTAAAAATGCTTTTTAAATGTTTCTTTAATAACGTGTAAAAATCCCTCTTATCGTTTTCGTAATTCGTGCAGGCATTTGGGCGGCAACCAACTAAAGAAGCTACCACGCGACATATTTCATGGATTGACTAACTTGGAGGAACTGTAACTATTTTTTCCTAAATCCTTCTTCTAAAATTTGTTTGTTCAAGATTGTAATGCCCTGTGTAAGTGCTTAAGTTGAACCAGTAGTTATAGAGTCGGTCGTGATGCGTGATCGTTCATATGACTGTAATCTGTCACCAAAGAAGTCTTCTTAGCCTAAAAATGGTTGTTGTAACAACATTGGCTGAAATGTTCATCAAATTCCAATGAGAAAGAGTTGACTTCAGCCAAATTTTTTATCAGCTTGGTAAGTTTTCCAGTTTGCATGTCACTGTCCATGACACGAAAGTAGGGTTTGTCCGTTGTCAGGAGAGAGAAGCCTTGGGTAAAAGACTAGATGAGGCAAGGAAATAAAAACCTTCCCATTTGTAAATTTCTAAGCCGATAAATTTAATCGTTTCTTTGATGAACATGCCCAGACCCTTGTTAAAATAACCACCAATGGTGCGTAATTTGGCCTCTTCTTTCTCTTGTTTCTCTTGTTTCTCTTACTGTTGTCTGATTCATTCTCTCCACCTGGTAAGAGAATCTTGTAATCAGCATTACTTTCCTATATCTGACACCCTCAATTGATCGAAGTAATTCACAAAACCTTCAACGAAAAAGCAAAAAAAAAAATTTTTAAAAGATTATTTGTAGAATATTTTGCTTGATAGAAATATATAAATGTCTCCTTGTATTTCAATCGACATATAATCCACTCATTGTACAATCTTTTTTTGTCAGAGACTTGTCATACAACCAGTTGCACAACTTGTCTCGAGGCATTCTGAGCACAAATACTAAGCTGAAAAAATTGTAAGTAGAGCTTGTTTTACTAACATCCAGTTACAATTCCATTCTAAATACTATTTTATAGTAATCGATTTTTACCTAAGCCCCTTGAAAGGCTTTCAATCATCTTGTCTAATTTTGCCTCCGACTGACATCCATTCAGAACACTCCGCAATTATTTTGCTATTTATAACATTCATGAAACTCTGGAATTATTTCCTTACTTTTTCTGAGCAACATTTCGTAGACAACTTTTATCGCATAATTTAATTCCTAACCTGGCTCTAATTCAGCACCTGCCGGAAGAGTGAGGAAGGGAGGGGGGGGGGAGCGGGAATCTAGTCCTCTCCCTCAAGAAGACTGAATTTTCTGATTTTTTTCTTTCAAAGTTAGCTTAGTCTTTATTCTAAACTGAACTATTATTTTAAGGGATTTGTCGAACAACGCGATTAAGCGTCTGCCATCGAAAGTTTTCGGAAACCTCACTGAGTTGAAAAGGCTGTAAGTGGTATCCTGTTGAGACTGAACAATAACGCTACTTCTAACATCAAATTATTTTAAAGTTTCGCCTCACAATTTTTCCAACAGTTACAGCAACACACAAACTTCTTAGGCTCTATGAAAGAGGGGATAAAATGCACTATATTACTATAATGCTCATTTTGCTACATTTCCTCACCTGTTCATGGTTTTGTTAACGCATCAATTGTATTTAAAGTTTCGAATTAAATTTGACTGTCTTTAACAGCATTTTCTTTCACGTAACTAGACATCATATTGCTGCATGATACCTTGTTAGGAGACATTGCATAAATAAGAGAGTTTAACTTGTACAACATTGATTTGTCGAAAGACTGATCGACCTTTCACAGTTTTGGTACCGACTGATGCTAAGGAGAAAAATTCGGAAGACGCCTGTTTACAGCAGATGTGAAAGAACGCCTTTAGTCCAATTTATCACGGATCAGGTGTAATATTTTACTTTGCGAGACCTGATCTTGTTTTAAAAAAAAAATTGTGGTCAGTATCCAAATTCTAGAAAAATAATTTTAAGAACCAATGAAGATCATTTTAATGTTCTATGTTTCTTCTTTTGTCTTTCCCTGCAGCGTTCTGTCCAGTAACGGACTTCAGCGTTTGCCAAGGTTCAACAATCTCTCCAAGATAGAAATATTGTACGCAGTTCATGTTTATAATGGAGACTG